AGAGACAGAGAGAGACAGAGACAGAGACAGGGAGAGAAGCCAGGGGACAAGATATATAATCCCCAAGGGCATGCCCTCAGTGACCTTCTTCCATTAGCTGTTATCAGGTTACTGCTGTATTGAGTAGAAACTATAGGCAGGTAGGGTATGGCTGATGGAAGGAGATTACTGAAGGCATGCTCTCGGGGATTATATATTTTGTCTCCTGGCTTCTCTCTTTCTCTCTGCTTCCTGCCTAGTTTCATTTCTTAGTAGATATGTATAACTTCAGGCAAATTATGTAACTTCTCTGAGCCTCAGTTCCCTCAACTGGAAATGGGGATTACATCTATCCCATAAATGTCTTGTGGAGGCTGGGATTGTGGCTCAGAGGAAGACTGCTTGCCTTGAATGTGTGAGGCACTGGGTTCAATCCTTAGCACCACATAAAAATATAAAAATAAAATAAAGAGATTGTGTCCACCTATAACTAAAAAATAAATGTTTTTTTAAAAAAGAATGTCTTGTGATCAAAAGATGAGGTTTGTAAAGCCACCTGGAACACAACCTGAAATATGGAATGTGCTCTGAAAAATAATAGTCCTGTGTTCTCTGACTGCCACATTAATAGAGAAACTGATGAAATGTCTTGGTGCTTTCAATCTTATGTCTTCATATACACCAAGTATACTCTAAGTCACTGACTTAGGTGTGGAGCTTGCTGGATATTTTCATAGGAGTTCGTTTATTAAATTGAAAAGGTGTGGAAACAGTAAAGAATCCAAATGCTAACAAAATGCTAGATTACTGAGCAGACTCTCATACTCAGAGATGGAAATACAGAGGTGTGTGAGTTCTCCAAAGGAGAAACTGCAAGAAAAATGTGGGGCGAAAGGTATGAAGATTCTCTTGTTGTTTTGAGGTTACAAATATTACAAGTACTTAAAAGGAAATGAACTTTGTTAATATTTTAATTCAATAATCTAAAAATATAAAGAAGCTGAAGTACTTGATCAAAAATGACAGTGTGAGTTAAAATCCTCTACAAACCATGATCTTTCTGATCAGGACACCTATCTTGTTTAATTAAGATTGTTTCTTTTACTGTAGAAAAATTCTTTTACTGTAAAAAAATTCTTTTTTTAGTGTAAAAGGTCTTTTACAGTAAGAGTACTGCTTCTTCATAATATTCTGAGAATCCTAAACAAGACACATGATCCAGTAATGGTGGGTCATCCTCATATGTGAAAGATGGCATGTGTTTTATATGTACTTTATAATACAATATTAATCTGTGTTTCCCAAAGTTTTAAAAAAAAACAACCCTTACATTATATAAAAATAACTAAAACCTCTTTCTATCAGGGGCAGATAATAAGTCACTCAAAGAGACTGAAATGAAAAATGAAGACTAACACCAGCATACCTTAATAACATGTCACTAATTTTCCATCTCAATAAGAGCTGGGAAATAAAAGCCAAAGCCATCTGGGGCCATCTCTCAGTATGAATTCCATCTCTGTTCTAACTTTGGAATCCTTTTCTCTACAGCAACTCTAACAGCAAATGGGAGAAAAAGAGAACAATTTTCTTCCTGAACCAAAGCATACAAAATGTTCTTTATCTAGAGGTCTTGGCTCCACTTGAAGCACTGTTTTTCACGTTAAGGCTCGGGCCAAGCAAGGACAGGAGAAAGAAGCACTCTTAATGTGCCTAGGGCAACTTTAGCTTCAGGAAGGTAAAGGTGATCACAGTTTCAAATAGTCCCATTCACTTCCCTCCCCAACCTCAAAATAGAAGTCAAGCCTGTAGGTCTGCAGAAATGGATCAGAAGAAATTCTAAAAGGGACTGGGGCCAACTATGTGTCACACCTTGATGACTGCTCCAAAAGCTCCTTTGCCGAGAAGCTGTAATTCTTCAAACTCAATGAAATACCGGGAAAACTGTCTCTGTGTCTCACTGAAGAATGCAGCACTGGGAAGCTGGCTGCTAGGTATAACGGTCTCAACATAATCTTGTCCTCCAGAATCTAAGAAAAAAATGATTGCATTAAAAATACAGGAAGAGCTAGAGAATCCAACAAGGATGTGAGCACTGGCAAAAGGGGGGGGTGTAAAAAAGTACCTCTTGCTTGAGTGGCCCTTGTATACTTTCCCTCATCTTGCCTTCCTTAAAATAGGTAGAAAAATATTATTAGCCCATTTTATGGGAGGGGATAAGTAGAGCAGAGAGTAAGTGATGGAACTACAGAGCCAGAACCCAACCCAGGTCTCCTAGCCTAGTCACTACCGAGGTTCTTTAATCTGCTACGTGTCAGCAAAAAATCCAGTTACACAGCAATAAGGGTAAGAAAACAGGAAGGACGATTAAATATTCAAAGAGGCTACACCAATGGACACTTTATCATAGGGACTGGAAACTCAGGCTGGGAAAACAGTCCCATGCACACAGGGACTGCTTATTGCTGAACATAAATGTATGTGTAGCTCAGAATAAAACAGATAATCCATGCAGCCCCTTCCAGTTTTAGGTTTATGAATACCTTCAAAATAATTTAATTTTAAACAGGGTATCAAAGAAGGATGGCAAGAGACTCACCTTCGGGACTTTGTTCCACTAAAGGCATTTTTGGCTGAGGGTTTATAAAACCATGTTTCAA